ACTCTTACGAAGCAGGAGGAATGCTGCTTCTCTGCTGAGAACTGTAAGGTCAGACAGACGGATGTGGAGATGGCTCTGCGGATGTAGCAGGAAACAGCGTCAGAGCTAGAAGTCCTAGGTTCTAGTCCAGGACTGAGCCTGTGTGGGGTCTCTTTTAACCCTTTAAATTCTAAGTGGAACAGCACATCCTCGGCTGTAGGAGCTAATCTTTTGTTGTTTTTGTTTGTTTGTTTGTTGTTTTGTTTTGCATTGAGACAGGGCTTCCCTATAGCCCCAGCTGGCCTGGAACTCACTTTATAGACTAGGCTGGCCCCAATCTCAGAGAGATTCTCCTGCCTCAGCCTCTGGAGAGCTGGGATTAAAGGTATATGCCACACTCCTGGCTGTAGCAGCTAATCTTGTGACTGTAAACCAGGCAAAATAGAAAGGTTGCCTTCTGTTCACACATGCAACAAGAAGAACATGAGTTATGAAAAAGACAAACCTGTGAAATACAGATAGCCTAGCCAGATGACCAGATAACTTAACAGTATGTGCTTTAGTGCAGCTCAAAGGAAGAAAACTCCAGTGTCAAGGATTTTTAAGTGTACTGACTAATGTTTTTTGTTTTTTCACATTGACTATCAAGAGAAATGTAAGGAACAGGAATTTCTCTGCAAGGTGGCATACATACAAAGGCAAGTAATGCTTGTCTTGGCTAAATGATCCTGAGTCCATCCCACTGCATACAAGGTGACTTGTTGGACTACTTCCCCACTAAGCCCACTGCAGAAGGGCCCAAATGGCTCCTCTCTACAGGGCTCCCAGTGACCCGACTTCCCCAGACCCAGAACTGAGCAGGAGGAAGTTTGCTGCCTCCTCTCCTCCCTGCTCTTCTTTATGGGATGGCCGTCCAGACATGCACAGCCAAGCCCACCCTGCCACTAAGGGCTGTGACAGTCACAAACTGAATCTGGGAGAAGGAAAGGCTCCTGATGTCAATTTCATATTGAAATTGATCTAAAACTAAAGGTTGAATTACACCTGACTGCAATGTGTTAGCTAAAGCTTCATCTAGACCAAGCCCAGGGTTCAAGGTAAACATCTATATCCATCAAGTCTAGAACTAAAGAGCCAGAGAGAGGAGGGCAGTAGCTTTTTAAAATTTATTTTTGACACAGACCAAAAGCAATGTGACAAAAACTCACTAGAGATTTTTATTGCCTAGTCTTCATATTGACTTAAATATCAAACTCAGCAATTTTGACTTAACTGTAACCAAAAGTGGAAAGAAAGTATTTGGTTGAGTTGGAAATTTTTTGAAACCCACCCGATGACTTCATAGACATACTCAGGTGCCAGGGATCCAAGTGCAACCGAGTATGACTAGTAATAATCAGGTGCATACATATTAGAGATGCATGCGCCAACATCTCAGTGTTAGTAGCAAAACCAATGAGTCTTTCTGCAAGGAATGATATATTCTAAAATGAAATGGAGATCTTTTTTAAAGGTTAAAAAACTCATTCAATTTTATGTCTTACAGGGCTTATACTGAGTTCAATATTGTATAACTGTATTAACTCAACTGTGAACCTAGAAACTTGCACCCACTTGTGAAAGAGATGTACTCTTGCTCTGGAGTGTGTTAGTGAATATGTTAAATCTGTAGTGAAATGCGTCTTCTAATCATGTAGTTGTTATTAAAATTTTTCTTAAATGATTAAAAATAATAATAATAATTAGTAGATGTGAAAAACAAAACAAAACAAAAAAAGTGGGAAGGAGTAGGTAGCTGCCTACGCCAATCCTCTAGTTGCAGACGTGCTAACCACAATATTTATTTTAGTAAACGTAGAGAAAGCGAAAAACATTTTCACTCTAATATTCAAAGCCTTAGACTTGCCTGTTTTTTAAAAATTAATATGCTCCTAATGCTGTAGATGAAAAATCAGATGCCTTCGTTGGCACAGGGACTGTGGCTAACAGTCCCATTTACCAATCCAACAAACACCCACAGGAGATTAAACGTGGTCATGTTTTCCCCAAATAACCACATCACCAGAGCCAGAGCCCTGGCCTAAAACCACCCACAGAAAGAAGCGTGTCCAGCCGACACATGCCACAATGGAGGCCCTATCAGGTAAGGGCTCTCATTTTTCCTTGGAGCCAAAGTATTTAAAAACTAAACTAGCAACCCAGCTCCAAACCCTGGGGTCTTGTTCTGCCTTTCACTCCTCAGTGCAGAGACTGGCACCAAGACGGAAAGAACAGTTTCTCTTTCAGACCTGCCTAAAAGAAGTGACTCAGATCCAGGCATGCCAAATTGGCTATCCAGGGCTTAGGAGGAGAGGCTTCTTCGGCAGGCTTTAAGCTTTTGATTTTGAATGACAGATAACAAATGTATGTGCTTATAGGGCACAGAGTGCTAGCTTAGTACATGTTTGGCTAGTGTGAGGGGCCAATCAGTCATTCACATCTCCATCACCCTACAGTAGAGCCTGCACTTGGCCTTGTGAGCAGGATGGTATGATGGGGCTGGGTAACTCTCCCTCTAAGCTGGTAGCCTTTGTAGACAGGAGCAAATTCATCCATGTGAATGCCACATGGCTACATTCCAGATCCACAAGGGTGTCCTCCAACTTAAAGCACCACATCCTTTGTAAGTGAAGGGGCTTTGGTTAAGTTACAAAGTAGGACCTTCAATTCACTCCTCTGTAAAAAGACAGCCGTAACTGATGACTCTATGTGGCCCAGAAGAGGCTCTCTCTAATTCCTTCCTCTCTCCACTGATCCTTTTGCATTTCTTCTACCATTTCCTCATCATCATTCTTGTCCCTCCTTAGGTAAAGCCAACTTCTTCCTCCCCTTCCCCTATTCTTTCTCTATTATTATTATTATTATTATTATTATTATTATTATTATTAATAGTCTTGACAGAGTCTTACTATGTGGCCCAGTCTGGCTTCAAACTTGCCTTAACTTTTCAGAGTTGGGTTTACAGCTGTGTGACATCACACCTGACTTTGCTTTTCCTCATGCCTTCTCCACTGATGCTCCCTTTGCTACAGAAGCCTCCTGTATGTTAGGATTATTGATGTGCTCAATCATACTCAGCCTTCCTTTATTTCTATTAAGAGTCAAACAAAGCAAAAATGCTGAAAACCGGCCACTCACATTATAGTGTCAAGAGAAAGGAAAAACTGGCATTACTATATAACTGACTTAAAATAGCAGCTATGCTTCAGGGCATAATATAGGACTCTTATTTAAAATAGCTATTTACTGGGCTGGGGAGATGGCTCAATGAGTAAAAACACTTGCCATGCAAACCTGACAACTTGAATTTGATACCAGGAAACCCATGTAAAAGGTTAGATGTGGGCTGGCAAGATGGCTCAGTGCATAAAGGTGCTTGCCGCCAAGCCTGATGATCTGAGTTTGATCCCTGGGGCCTACATGGTGGAAGGAGGCAATAAACTCTCTCCAGTTGTCCTCCAACCTCTATATACATGTCGTGGCATGTGTGTGTGCGTGCACATACACACAAAATACATGTTTAAAAAATAATATTTTTAAAATTCAGATTTGATGGCACACATCTGTATTCCCAGCATTCCTAGAGCAAAATGGGAGGCAGAGATGGAAGAATGAGCTAAAAGCTCCTGAGCCAGCTGGCCTGGAGCATACTACATAATGAAACAAGAGACCCTGCCTGTCCAAAGTACAAGGAGAGAACCCACTCCTGAAAAGTCCTCTGATCTCTACGAGTGTGCCTGGGCACATATGTACCTGCACCCCATCCCACCCCACACAATAAATAAAATTGTAAAAAAAAATTTGGGGGGGGGTCTTTTTTGAGACAAGGTCTCTCTGTAGCCCCAGCTGGCCTGAAACTTACTATGTAGACCAGGCTGGCCTTGAACTCACAGAGATCTGCCTGCCTCTGCTTCCCAAGTGTTGGATTAAAGGTGTGCACCACACCACCATGCCCAGCTTTAAAATTGTAAAAAAATTTAAAAAGCTATTTACTCAAATTATGGCTCCCTAAAAGAGAGTACATGATCCTTTTAGAGAACACAAATTCTACAAAGTACATTTTTATATGCCTCAAGAGTCACTGAAGAATTTTCTCTGGCAAATTCTGAGCTACCTCTCAGAGAGTTGTCTCTAGCCTAGATTCTAGATCTATGGTGGTTTCCAGGGTCGGCCATCTTGACTTCAGTGTGATCAATTAGAGGGGACCAGCCATAAAAAGCGCAGGCACTACTGTCAAGCAATAAACTAGACCTTATCGGTGACAGTGGTTCACATTACAAACTTCAAACTCATTCCTTGCTCTGATCCATCAGAAACTTCCTGGCCTTAATAGGCCCTAAATGGTAGGAACTTTGAAGTCCCTGGATTAGGGTAGGTAACAGACGGGCTGAATGAGTAGCTAAATGCAGGTGGAACGCGCTCTATGTGTCCCGAATTAAAAAGAAATCCAATTAATCAAACAGGCCTCAACCTTAGCTGTGGCAGCAGATGACAGGAGTGGCCAAGGCAAGGGATGAAGTGCTGGAGCAACTGGCTGGCTCCCATGAAAATCCACTGTAGGCTGTGAGGCTGCAGGGTTGGGCTGCTGACCTCCCAGTCAGAAGGAGAGCACAGTATCAGGGGAGAGATAAGGAAGGAGAGAACTAATGCCTTTTAAACTGAGTTTTCATGTAAACAAATGGACTGGGATGGGAGAAGGAAGCCCAGACCTGTTTTCCCAGGCGGACGGCCTTTGCTTTGATGACTGACTCCTAAAATCTCAAACATTTGTGGCTCAAGGTATGCCAGGGCTCAGAGTTCAATGGGCCATAGGGTGAGATGACTCAGAACGCCAGGGCCAAGCTACCTAGGCAATGGCAATGCTGTTGACCGAGCAGGAAGGTGTAGTAGAGCAGAGGACCAGACTATGCATCAGTGCAGCTAAGGGGTGCAGGAAAGGCCAAGGCACCCTTCTGAGTGCACCTCCTCTTCACTCTGCTTACCTTCTGGGGGGTTTTTATTCTGATTATTCCAGACGACCAGAAGCTTGGATAGACTGGGCACCTTAGAAACCTCGGTGATGACCCGGAAGAGGCTCTCCACACGGTCATAGGTGAGGACAATGGCGGTGAAGCCTTGTGACTGAGGTGGGATCAGCGGGAGGAAGAGAGGGTTGCTCACGCTGGCCCACTTCTGCAAGATGATAAGAGGGTGTGGATCAGAGAAGAGCTGCAGCAGGGGATGACCCAACATCACCAGGGTATCCAGCTGTGTCAGGTTGGCAGGTTTACCCAGATCAGCCAGAGCTCAGCCAGTGTTCAAGTCTCCCCTCTTCATAGTCTGACATCACTGAAAAAGGGCCAGAGACTATCTGCAGCTGAAAAAAGGGTTCCAGTTAAACAGATTCAAAGTATGCATCTATCTCCAGTCCCTCCCCAGACACCGAGGTGGATATCCATTCATGACTATAGACAAAACTGACCCCACAATGGCCTCGATATGGAAGAAAAGCTGAGGGGGTTAGCTGGGTGGGGCAGGAATGGGAATCAGACCTGTGCCTCCAGGAGGAGGTTTCAGGGGGAACCACAGAGCTCAGGAATCAAACTCTCCGAGTTCCCTGCAGGGCAACATTTGTGAGGGATGTTAAAAGTAGGAGGGCTGGTTAAAAAGCTGTATTAGGAAGTCAGACCCCGATTCATGAACCCTCCCTTTTCCCCACTCAGCCAGAAGGTTTATTTTCCATGGAAATGGAATCTCCAGACGGGAACACAGGCACAGGAAGTAATCTCAGGACAAAATCAGCAAAAGGATCAAGGAGCCCTACAGCCACCTTCCCATGCTGTTCCCAGCCCTGTGGATGGCATGGCACATCCATCTCCCAGGCAGGCCCCCAGGAGGTACATGGGTCCACAAAGACCTTCGGATCAGCTTTTAGTGTCTCCCTCTTAATCATGAACAGATTCTAGAATCACAGATAGTTCAAGAGCATCTTGAGCAGGAGCAAGAAAAACCAAAGAACAAACAGATCTGAGAGCAGAGAGGCCATAGAAGAAGCAAAGCCAAGTTAAAACAACAACTGATAGCCTCAGGGAGACAAGACTTTTCACCCATGAGAAAGCTGCTATTTTTACTTAAGAAGATCTAGCAAAGATCAGAAAGAACTCTTGGATGTTAAAACCATGATAGTTTATAATTCACTTTTTTTTGTTTAAAGGACAAGATTCTAAGATAAAAGATGGTAACTATTCCAGGCCAGTGAACAAAAAGACAGAGATGAAAAATAGGATAGAAAAGAGGAGAAAACAAGGGGAGTCCAACATCCATTTAATAGGAAGCCCCCCAAAACAAACAGAATGTGGACAAATCTATCAAAGAGATTAAACATAGTCTTAGCACAAGATGGGAGAATCCTAAGCTTCAGACTGCAAGGGACCAAGAAATAGTTAGCACAGGGGCCTTAAAAAAAGAGAAATAAACAAACAAAAACAAACAATGAAACAAAAGTCACCGGCATGAGGAAGCACAGTGTTCCTGCAGAGGGGGACCGGGGATGGCCTCAGCAGGTAGGAATCTGGGTTGTGAGCATGAATTTGCTGAACAATTCTCAAAACTTCTCTATAAATTGGAACTTATAAAGTTTAAAAAGTAAGGAAGAAATGCAATCTTTTACCTACAACTAGAATGTTAAATAATTTAAATGTGACAAGGCAAGTGAAAATAATTTCATACTAGTAACAGGTAAAGATAAAATGTTCTTACAGATTCAAACAGCCTTATTGAAATATAATTCATATTATCTACAACCCATGCATTGAAAGAATGCATTAGGGGCTGGGGAGACAGCTCAGTGGGTGAGAGTACTTGCTGAACAACTGTACAGATGTGGGTTCAGTTCCCAGCACCCAAAAAATGTCAGCTTGCCTATATACATTCATGGGGTTACAAGCCTAGTGTTGTGAGGACAGAGACAGGAGGATCCCTGGGGCTTGTTAGCCAGCCAGTCTAGCTGAAATGGAGAGCCCCAGGTTGAGTGAGACACCCTTTCTCTAGGAAATATGACACCCAACATCTCCTTCCATTTCTTTATGCACGAATGGGCGCGTGCACACACATATAGACACACGTGCACACGCACATACATTTGTGTGTGTATACAATGCACAGAGAGCTAATGGGAGAGCATATACTTGCTTTAGTGTATTACATTAAAATTTAAAAATTAAAAATTATGATAAAACATATGTAACATTTGCCATTTAAGTCATTTTTAAGTATACAATTTGTTGTCATTAATTACATCTTTATTCATGTTAGTATGTTAACAGTCCAGAATAGTGCTGTGTTTCTGTTAGTAGGAGAATATGTTGTCTATTTGTCACTCTGGCTGCCCTGCACTTCCCTATAGCCTTTTAGCCTCTGGACTCCTGAGGTCCCCTATCAATCTCATCCATGCCACTGATGGACACCCATCACCAGGCATGTGACAACAGCTGTGTGCCAGATGTGACAGTGTGGGCTAGGAAATGTACACAAACAGATGGAGTACACATGGGATGGAACTCAGGGAGCCTAAATGGAATTCCTGGAGCTCTAATATGATCAGGATATTAAAGCCCAAATTACCAAAGAGGACCATTAGACTCCAGAGCCAGGAGAACCAAGAAGACCAGTAATCTACTCAGTGTAGACCTGTGGCCAGACATCACAGTAGCCCAAGCTGCTGTCTTAGGATGATGACTGCATATCAGTGTTTACACACTAGTATCTCGTTACATTCCTAGGAAGCCTTTGGAGTTTTCTGCCTTGAGTCTTATTGTCCGACTTGTCCTGACTGCTAAGAAACTGATGTCAGTGGGGTGGCCTCATGTCTAAGTCACAAGTATTCTCCACAGATAGTTCAGGATCTCTGCCATTACTATTCTCCACCCACTTGTCTAGAAAAGATACTCCTTAAGGTCTACCTGAAGAACACCATTTGAAATGGGAAAAGGAGGGGTGGGGGCTTTCTGAAAGAAGCCTGCAAGGCAATTTAATGTGTAGAACTGAGCAAAACTAACTTAGCAGTTACTAAGTGCCAGGAGTGGGGTTTCACATGTATTCGCTCATTTGAAACTCACACCCCTACAACGGAGTTAACTTCTCTCACTTTACAGGTGAGGTGAGTATGGAGACAGAGACAGCAAATGGTATTTAAGGCCATTTAGCTCCTGAGTGACGGAACCTGGACAGCCCAGGCAGTGGACTCCTGAACACCAGCCCCTCCCACTCTCCTGCTTAAGAAAACTGAAATAAGGGAACTCCAACATTCACTATTTCTAGCTCTTCTAAGACAAAAGTCCTGAAAATTCTTGATCCTTATTATCAATTCTGGGCCAGTAAGCAAGGACTTACCCCAAGAATTAAGATTTCAGAGCATACATAGAACAAAAATACATCAAATATATAACTCAAGACAACATGAGCACATAAATTTACTAAGGTAAATATCCCACAGACACAGATGGAAAAAACAATTAAAACAACAAAATGAGGTCTGTACTGTGGGAGAAGGGAGAATGCCAGCACTCAAATACTGGTACAGCATGGAGAGAATGGGAAGGTCCCTGAGCCCTGGCGTTTACCCCAGGTACCCTAAGGGTGCCCCAGTTCTGATTTCAAGGTGCTGCAGGAAGAAGGAGCCAGTCTCTGGCAAGGTAACATATTTGGTCTCTGGTGTCAGCTCCCCTGGAGAAGTGGATGGTTAAAGAGGAGAAGATGGGAAGGAGTGGCTTGCTGGGAAGTGACTTGCCACATAATCTACTGGAATCCCAAATAGGGCTTGACCACTTGGGGAGACAGCACGTGGGGCCAGACATAAAGGGGCTCACCCAGGACTAAAGTTTTGCCAGTGCTTTCCTGGATCACCAAAGACTGAGATAAACACAAGAGGCAACATGTGAGCTGCAGAGAGATACTCACAGGGGAACAACACCCTTCTGTGGGACACACTGCCAGGGCCTACTCAAGTGATTAAGAGACCCAGAATGAGTTAGTGTGTTTGGAGTCACTTTGGGAATCAGGAGGCCTTAATCTGAGTCCAGGTTCTTTCTCTTTTTCTTTTTCTCTTTCTTTTCTCTTCTTTCTTCCTTTTTTTGAGACAGGATTACACTATCTAGCCCCAGCAGGCATGGAACTCACTATGTAGACCAGGTTGGCTGTGATCTCACAGATATCCACCTGCCTCTGCCTCCCTAGTGCTGGGATTAAAGGTGTGTGCCACCATACCTCACCAGCTTCTTTATCTTTTAATTTTATTTATTTAATTTTATGTATATGAATGCTTTACCTGTACATATGTAAGTATACCATGTATACAATGCCTGTGGAGGCCATAAGAGGGCACTGGATCCCTTGGAAGTGGAGTTATAGACAGTTGTTAACCACCATGTGGGTGCTGGGAACAGAACCCAGGTCCTCTGCAAGAGAAACTAATGCTCTTAACTGCTGGGCCATCTCTCCAGACCCCAGTTTCGCAACAGCTTTGCAATTGGGGCAAAGTACTTCACCTCTGAGTACTTGGCTCAGTTTCTTTATAAAATCCTAGTGACAGGTCTGATACCTTTGCAGGGGTGATGGGGTGATGCTTGGCATGCACAGCCACTGGGGAAGTGGCAGCCAATGGTGACCTTGTATAGCTGTTTTTCACATCTCAAAAGTGGGGGTAGCCCCAGCAGTCTGGTCTCTCAGCATACGGGTTCTATGTGAAACTATTCTGCCTCCCTAGCTTCACCTCAGCATTCTCTGAGGCCTGGTTTACCTGAATTCTACCTCTGCTACTTTTCCAAATATACTGTTTTTATTTCTATGACTGTTCTTTCCCTCCTGTGTCTCTGTTTCAGCTACCCCTAAAGCTCTCTGAAGGCGTAATACTCAGTGCCTGGGACAGGGCCTGGTACCTGAATCAGTGTCCAGTGCCTGGGACAGAGCCTGGTGCCTAGAACAGTATCCAGTGCCTGGGACAGCACCTGGTACCTGGATCAGTGTCCAGTGCCTGGGACAGAACCTGGTGCTACTCAATAAGCTTGTTGAACAAAGAATTTAGTTAGTCTCCAACAACCCAGGCCCTTTTCTGCCTGCCCCCTATGTAGAGATATGAAACAGATACACACTCACTTAATAGTGATGGGTTTTGAAACGGTCTCCAACTTAGCTCA